GCCGTCAAGAAGTGAACGACATCATCAGCGCACTTAATCCATCTAGATAAATGGAAGTAATAAATATTTAGGAACTGACAGGACTGATTAAGTAAAGTCCGTAATGACAGATAGACGCAGGCTGCCGTAGAAAAATCTCAAAGAGTAGTGAAATGATAAACATTGGACGCATCCGGAATATTAAATTGTTATGGAACTAAGTTTGCAATACTGGAAAGAGTATGAAACAATGCGCAATGAGCATTGAAATATCTGAGAATATGTTAATAAAATGACATAAGGAACGACATATAGGTTACCGTACTGTGGCGTACTGAGTAGTTATAAGAAAAGTGTAAATATTGAAAAACCAACCTCTAGAAGAAAAGCACCCATAAAATAAATCAATAAGTTAAGCCCAACGGTTATCCCGCAAAAATCCAAATTTCAACTTTTTAGGGTAGGTTGATAGATAGGTAGGTAAGATAGGTAGGTACTTAGGTAGTGTAAAATGTATTTAGATAGGCGTTGGCAAGCGCAACCGTACGTCATAGCTTGGTAAGTTAGGTAAGTATATACGCTCCGGTATGCATCAGCATACGCCGCAGTTCTTCGGAGTAAATCGCATTGCGTCAAATTGCGTCGGTATGTGTCAGTGAGTGACATGCATCGATTTGCGCGATCGAAAAGCATGTTGATCTTACAGTAAATTGTTGCATCGAATATAAAGGTAGCAGTATTTTTCAAAATGATACATTTTTATTCTCATATTAAATAAGTGCAGCTTGCTGCCTGATGTAATGACATTACTTACCTGCATCTATATTATTCTGGCATAGGTGCATGAATTTTACAAAATTATTTTATATAAAAAGTTTGAATTTCATTTGCATTGCGAAGGAGCAAATGAGCAAAACAAACTTAACAACATTTATTTGTTCAAGTTGTCATAAAAAGTTGTGATTTTTTCGAAGCATACGCAAAAGTTACAATAATGTGTGCATTAAACATACTTTCCAGTATTCTGGTCTCCTATGCAAACACTGGGCTCTAATTGTTTAGTAAACTGAAATTCCGTACTCAAAAGTTTTGTAAAGTGTTGTTGCAAAGTATTTTCCAACTTTTTTTCTCTCTCGTTTTTAGAAAAAATATTACATCGCAACCTACGAATAGTTCGAATAAGTTACATGTACTTGTCTTCCTAATTTTTCCATATGTCGATGTAATAGGGTATGTGCAACTTTTGTATGTCACAAATTTTTTAAAAAAATGTATGCACACATATATGTACACACAAACATGTTTTCAACTTGTATTTATAACAAAGGACGGAAAAAATAAAACTTGTATAAAATAGAGTATTTGGACATAGCCTCTAGATGTGGGAAACTCCTAGTTCCGTTTAATATTGTCCGTCCGTCGGTTTGTTGTATTTTTAATGGCATGGCGATTACACATTTGAAAAATTGCTTTTAATCTTCTCAAAATTATTTTCCTTTTCTCATCTGGATCAGAGAACTCGTCAATTTTGTATATGCCTGATCAACCAAATAGCTTATCCATTCCTTCAATGTTCGCCGTCCAAAGAGTTCATCTAAAGAGCTGCGCTCTGACATACACTATATATTCTCTTCGTTCGGGTCCATCTTGATCTTGCTCTAAGCGCTAGTATAAATATTTATTACAATCGTGTAAATTGTAACTATCGAAATGAAATCTACTGAACGATATTCTTCCTTCCAGGTTTAGAAATAAGTGGTACCGGTTACGGTGGTTAAGTGGTTGTTCTTATGAAAATTTATACACCACCCGTAAGGCACGTTTCAAAATGAACCGTTAAATGAGAGGTTGTCGAAAAAGTGGTCCGATCCGAACCATTTTCAATAATGTTCACTCTTGGCCATACGGCATTGACATTTGCCGGAACATTTGGCAAACATAAAATTTAAAATTCTTCAACATGAAATAAATGATGAAAAGAAAGCCAAACTCATTTTGTTACACACAAACAACCTATGAATAACCCATAGGACTTATTTTAAGAACACAGAATTGTATAGGTCGCGTCAAGAAACTATTAACAGAATCTTTTCCCACACTAATAATAAGAACGAAAGAGCAAGCAGCTAAGTAATAGCGTTACTACTGTTATTGACAAACAGAAACATAAAAAGTCCGTAATAATCTCTTAGTTTGTATTTTAATTAAAATCTTGGACCATCTTATCATTTAGTACTACGTTGGTATTACGTTTTATATTGAAATATTTCTTAAGCGCTCTTGCTATTTAGTTCTCTCTATATGGATCTCACTCTATTTGATCTACCACCCAATCATTATTTTGTTCTGGTATTGTAACATATTTATTGTAGACTCAAATGTATAAGCTTTTAATTTGCCTATTTATTTATTGAAAGTTTTGAGGAAGAACACATCAACTCTATCTCTTTCGGATTTCTAAACCACTTACGTCGGTATTTCTGAATTTAATGAACACTATGCCCTTTCCTTTCGAGCACAGAAACCATACATAAAGTTTTTGCTATATATGATGTTGCAATAAAACGCCCATTTAAGTAGAACATATATCCTCTTCGTAGTAATACGCCAAGATAATATAAAAGCGGTTATGAGTGAAATGTCCACATAATTTATTTTATCTTTCGTGTAGGTGCTGCCCGTTTGTTTGTAAATAGTATTCCATTTCGATTTTGATCATAATTCATGCAAGTATGGTTAGTAGTCGTTTTTTGGATGGTATTAGTGTAGTTAGTAGTCATTTGTAGATGTAGGTATTTTGATCATAAATCATGCAAGTGTGGTTAGTGGTCATTTGTAGATGGTAATTAATTATTTATGCCATTGCATGTAAAAGCTTTCTTGATTGAAAGCTCAGCTAAATATTTGTGGCAAGAACCTCTATGTAGATTTCGCACTGTAAACTTTTACTCAAACATAAATGACGGCATGAAAGCTTTCTTGCTTGAAAGCTCTGCTAAATATTCGTGACAAGAACCTTTATGTAAGTGTCGAATGTATGTGCACCATCAACTTTTACTCAAACACAAATAACGGCATTTTAAGTAAACTTTAAATGAATTTTTAATTAAAAAGAATAGATAAACTATTTCTATACTCGTCCCCTAAAATGCATACAATGTAATGATATGAGAGGTGAAACGCAACAATATTTTTGATCATTTTATCCAATTTACAGCATTAGGTACATTCTGTTTTCACGTTACAAAAATATATCCTATCTTAACACATGTCGTTGTTAACTTTTGACTACGTTTTTATTAATTGCTTGTTAAATACCGTTTTTCACATACCGTTTTCACATACTTGTGGAAGCTATAGGGCGTTTTTAATATAGATTTAGTGGCATTTTTATTGGACTTTATTGCATAGTTTAACATCCCTGTCGTTGATTGAAATTTATTGCTGAGCTTGTATATTCATTAAGAAAAACGTTTGCAATATTTTCGGAAAAAATTTTCATTGATCCTATAATCGCGATTGGTATCATATGATAGTTTAAGTGGATTTACTTTTATTTAACTGTCCGTCTATCCCTTTGTATTTTTGTGTCCAGTAAACATTCTCTTGATCGCAAAAGTTTATGCGGAGACAAACCAATCAAAGGCAAGGGCACTTGCACGTATGTATCTGAGGCTTAAAAGTGTTTGAGACATACCGATCCTGTATTACACCGAACAATTCAGAATCGTTTTAATTCATTTTGATCGTAACCAATGTTTGTCCATGCAGTTTCAATCTACGGATCGTAATTTTTAAAGTACTTTGACAGTACTTGTTGAAAATGGATGGTATCAAACCGCGTCCTTGATCAGCTACCATATACCGGCTACTTTTGAAAAACAATTATAAAAAAAAGAATGTCAATATTCGAAATTTTTCGACAGGCATCGTTGAGTAATAGTATTTGATCATAATAAAAAAGGGGTGCTTTGAACTTCCATCTATATAAGCTTTCCTGCAAAATATGAGTCTTTCTATGGCAAAACAATTCAATTTTTATTAACTCACAGCGCACACAAAAATCAATCGGTCTGCAATGGTAATTTGATATAGAAATTGCCAAACACCAAAATTTAAATTCTCTCTTAAGGGTATTCAGGGAAAGTAAACTTTTTGCTGGTAACAAAGTATAATTTTTAGTACTTTATGATGGAAGCAGATAATTAAAAGATAAAGTCTTTAACAAGAAGATTAATATAGACATGAATTCAGGTCGCATGAGATTACGTTTTGGAATCGCTTCCAGATAAGGGCTTTCATGAAATCTTTACTTTTAGATGGAAACAAAATCTCAATTTTAATATTTTATCTTAAAAATGCTAGAAGGATTGTATTAGGCAAAATAGTGTAGGGTATCTAAAGTCTGGCATATGTTACGGTGATCAAAACGGAGTAAGATACCGCTTGTCGTACAAGGGCATATTAAGCTTGTGTGAACGTATGAAACGCGCAAAAAGCATTGAGATAAATCTGCCTCTTTTATATACCGATTGATTAAGAATCATTTCTCGAAGTCGAAGTCGATCATTGCTTGTCTGTCCCTCTTGTATACATCTGTTCAACGCCTCCTCCTATTCCTCTGTACAACGTCGTTCTCTTCGACATACTGTTGAAAATAGTTCGGATGGGTCCACTTTTTTGACTGCCTCTCACATAACACCTTATCTTCAAAACTTATTATATGAATAACTGTATTAAACGAAGTGGTATAGGGCATGGAATGATGAGCCGTCGTGATCCACTGTATTTGACCATGAAATTTTAAAACCAACTTTAATGCTTTTTGCATTTGTTATCTATTATTGTGTGCTTCGTTTTTTAAATGTTTACAATCACATGCTGCGCAGGTTACAAATCAATTGATTTACGTGCAAAACATATTTATTTCATTTAATCATTTCGAATCGCCACACGTGTTAGAGCAGAGGAGGAAAAGATCATTAAAAAGAAAAAAAAAAAACAAAAAAAAAAAAACCAAGAAAAGCAAAAAAACGCTTTATTACTTTTTAGCACTTATTTACCTAATCTTTTAATTGGAAGCTGTTTTATTATTACCGTAATATTAATTAATTAATTGCGCGATCATGGACGCCTTGTTCCAAATTTTTAACTATAATAACATTTTTAAAACTAACTGTGTGTAAATAATCTTAGTTCAAGAGAAAATAAAATCTATTTATTCAGTATTGTAACAAAGTGCGATTTTTAACATTAACAATAAAATATTTCTTTAAAATTTTCAGCCGCGTTAACGGTAAAACAATTTATAACATGTGCGCATGCTATTCTTTATGTTATTTTTTTTTTTTTTTATTATCTAAGCTTTTAAGACAAATACCATTTACCCTTGAAGGCTACCGCACGTGAGCGTCTATGTAATTATTATGCAGTTAATTAGTTTAGTGAAATACTTGTGGGAATTTAAATTCGATAAGAGAATTGAAAAAAAAAACATTACAAAATTTAAATATATATATATATATATCTAAGGCCGACATTGATCTTCGAACTGATCTATAATGTCGGTTGAATTGAAGAAAGCTCTCTCCTTACTCTCAGCTACGTTTAGGTCCGTTCGATCATAGCAGACCGCAGTAGCACCAATATCTTGAAAATACTTTACGGCTTTTTTGGAATTGCAATCGTCACCCCAGACAAGGGCGGCCTGGCCCAAGTTGCGCGCCTTTTGAATCATGTTAGCACCATTTGCACCCAAAAAATCTTCAGCGTGCGGAGCTGTACCGGCCAACTCGAACGCTTGAGCATTATTAATGGCTTGCTCGAATGTCCGGGTCCTCAGATTCATCAGAGGTTCCCATTTCTTTGTTTCGCCCATCGACAAAAATAATACGGGGAATATGTTTTGTTTGTATCGGAACATGGTGCAAATGTCGGGATCGAAACTTGAAAATATTAGGGGGCGCCCGCAACCTTTATCGATGATTGTTTTTAATACTTTATCCACGAAAAAATTCTTATCAATAGTTTGCTCCGCCTCTAAATTACCGCATTTTCGGGTTTGCGGCCATTTGATTTCCACATCCAAACCTAATGTCTTGGGTAAAGCTTCTAAAATATCCTTCAAACGTGGAAAGATGCGATGTTCGATTACCGGCTCGGAATTATGAGAAGGATACTCTTTTATCTCGTTGTTAATTATCGCAAATATCCGTAAGTTTTTCAATTTTTCATAGGTAATGTCCTTAATTAGGATGTATTCCAATTGGTCAATCGTCTTGACTATCTTACCCTGGGGTGCTGTTCGCACACCAAAATCATGATATACTACCGGAACGTTATCGGCCGTTAGATGAATATCTAGTTCGACCATATCAGCAAACGATTCGTAAGCTCGCAAAAACGAAGCAACGGTATTCTCCGGCTCTGCTGGAGGATCAGCTATATAGCTTTTGCCATTGCCACGATGGCCTACGTCCAGATTGGGCCAACTTTTTGGCCAGTAGTAAGCAAAAGTTGTACGAAAATTTAACCGATCGACATCACTGAAAGGTTTCACAACCAAATAGGGCAGCGTCAGGCGAGCTATCACAGTATCGCTTTTCTCAGGCGGTTGAGTTACATTAAGCTCTAAATCTCCACTACTGGCCACCAAGACTGATGGTCTAATAATCGCTCTACCCAAAGGCTCTTTACTTTGCGAATGGAATGTTAAAGCGAACGCAATAGCCGTAGGATCGGGTACAATGACATGAAATATAATGATCTCGTGCCTCTTGTAAGCAATTCCTAGAGACGGCTGAGCTTGCAGTTGACTTTCGCCATATTGCATTTTGGTGACCTCGACATTGATAGCGGAATTATGCGGATCTAATGGTGTCTGTAAGTCCTGCTCTAATGGTATTAACTTGATCAAAATATTATCTGGATCAAATTTTTCAATGTCGTGTACTTGAAACATTTTCTCTCGTTCAAATTTGAATTGAACAATAGACTCGTTCGTGATCCAACCGCGATGAAATTTGATCTCTCCATTTGAACTTACACCGAAACGATCTTCTTGATGACAATTCATTTTACAGGTACTTAAAGTGCGCGGCTTAAGGTGAGTTTCCCAACGTCGAATTTGTCTATATCCTCGATTATCTTCAGCAAAAACAAGATAACGATAAGAAATATTTCGACACGATTCCAACATCATGTTCCCCGTCCACACTAGATTATTGTTTGTTGCATTTAAAGCGACGCAACTACTTAATTGCCAATCGCCTAAAGCATTTATATCACCCGTCAAGCCAACTCGTTCATTAGATTGCAATGGCTCATCCAATGTAACTGTAAATGATTGCAATATCGATGTGCAAACATTAGCTACCTCAGGTTCATCATTGATAGTACGTGGTAAACCAAAATTGTCTGCAATTGCACCTGCCTCCGCATACGAAACGCACTGATAAAGAAAGAAAAACCAACAGTGTAAAATTATTATCAAATTTTGAAATAACATTATTTCAAATTTCTGTTCTCAGAACTAATTAAGCGGATAACTAGTAGTAATCTGACTGCTTCTCCCAGCATATGTAAAGTTTTTAAATCAAATCGAGAAATTCGAATGCGGTTTGTTATCTCAAAAACTTATACCTTACATATATACATATATATATATAATATAATATATATATATATATATATATATATATATATATATACCACCAACTGAACGTAAATTACTTTTTTCTAATAGATTTTAAAAAATCTGCTTCACACTACTAACAATAAAAAACTTAAAATGTAAACAGCAAACAACAACAACAACAACAATAACAACAACAGCAATAAGGTCTTATCCATTATAAATAAAGTGTAGTAAAATTATTGCAATAAAAACAATCATCAATTAAATTGATAATAGGTCGTCGATTATCAATGTGTTAGTCGAACGTAAAGTGAAACCGTCATATAGAATAATAATTGATTTTCTTTTTCGTTATTTTTATTCCACTTGATTTTCGTTTTCAACTCATTTAATAAATAAATAGCGAGCTAGCTATTCACGTGTTTCAGATAACAAGTTTGATATATAGATCAGGCAGTGAAATGATATTTTTTCTAAGCATATGTGCTTGACGAGCGATAAAGGCATACGTACAAGCTATGGCTGATGTCATCGGACTCAGGCATAAATTGTGATAGATCTTCCGCATTTATATATCCGATGCAAATTTCATTTACAACAACGATAACAACAACAACAACAAAAATATTAAAACATTTGACCATCGAAAAAACTAATGCAATGAAATTTTTATGCGATATATTTGGCATTACTCCACATAAAACTTAGTATAGTACAGTTGATCGCAAAACAATTGCAATTTTCATCTAAAAAAAAAAAAAAAAAAAAAAAAAAAAAAAAAATACTTTTTACACTCGCTGATCACATGACAAACAACACCCATCGGACAAACATGTTTGGACGCGCATCAATTTACTGCACACACATTCATTCGTTGTTGAAACCCCTGGTTATACAAAGCTTTGCAAAGCAGTGCAATCAATAAAAACGTCCTCAGTATATATATATACGCATATATATATATATATATATATATATATAATTTTGGTCAATTTCAAGATCAAATATATGGACCGATATATTTTATGTGAAAAGAGCCTATAAACGTTGGAACGTCACATATTTGTGTTAATTTTCGTTCTTGTTGGTTGATGCAGTGTTCAAAAAAAATCCAACAATATTTTATTAATAGATTTTCTTAATTCTCAAAAACATGTAAATAATAACAAACTATTAATCATCATCCCGATATTTGGATAAAGGATTTTCTTTAACAAAAAAAAAAAAACAAATAACAAAAAAATATGACTGAGTTGTTTTGTGATGAACTGTTGCTGTGTTTGTATGCATTACGACATTCAAGTTCAAGGACAGGTCTCAATATAAAATTATAGTTAGTTATAGCGGGGAAAGTGAGAGAAAGGAAAGCGAAGAATAGTCTCTCATAATACTTTTCTTCTTCTCTTTCTTTTTTTAATCATTTTCTTTATTTATTTATTTAATTTTTTTTTGTTTTTTTTTTTATTTCATATTAATTTCACATTCAATTTCCCGGAAATTAGATAGTAAACGATTTAATTATTATTTAATTTGCATGTTTGTACGCTTATTCGTTACGAGCTTATTGATTTTTTTCTTTTCTTTTTATTCGAACCTCACGTGTCAAACGTAGCAAATGTGGTTTGTTTATATGCACGTCTGTGCAAAATGTGAATAAACAAAATCTAAGGCAGTTGTATGCAGTTTCGACTTGACGTAAATTCAATTCTTTCAAAATATTTTTATTTATAATTTTTTTTTTTTTTCAACTATTATTATTATTATTATTTATATGCATGGATATTATTTAATATGAAAAATAAATTTCATTTTACAAATTTGTTTTTTATATTTTTTTTTTATTTTGTTCAACTGTTGTGCTCTGCACAATTTTACGAATTGACGATTTTATGCACATTGATTATTGTAACGCATGCGTATTGTTCGCAAAATGGTAGAAAAAATGCTTTCATTGATAAAACTCCAAAAGCGAAGAAGAATGTCTTAATGACGCTCTGTGGATACCTGTACTGTATATAGAATAAAAATTACAAGAAAAAAAGCTATTCATTAATTGTAGGCGTGACGAAAAACCGATCGAAATCAATTCTATACCGAATTTTGAGATAAACTCGACCACTATCAATAATCAGAATGATTGTTAACCCCAAGTAGGATCTAAAGTGACCATAGAAAAATTTCTATAATCTATAATTACTTTTTTTGTATCTATGCTAAGTTCCTATACCGTACAATGTATTTATGGTATTTATATCTGACGCTACTGTGCAAGTGTTCACAATTGTGCCATAAGAGACCCTAAGAGTCGTACTGGCACATCAATCTCAATTATAATAATGATTGTTATTAATAACTATTACAATAAATTAATAAAGTATTTGTAATAAGTTTCAAGTCGATTCCTACTGCCAACACAAAACAGGATATATTCGCGTATTTGAAATGGGTGTTCCCCCGTTAAACAAAGGCGAATGCAACAATTAACGATTCAATGATCTATTCGTGAGTTATATAAAAATGTATATTCATAGCGATAATTAAATGTTGTTGCGGTATGAAATAGCTGATACGAGGAGGAAGGAAGAGGAAGAGAAGAAGGTCGATTGATACAAAGAGCAATCCAACTTTTGCTGCCGGCATTATTATGCATTCGATAGTCTTTTCGTCTTTTCACGAATTGCGATTTTCTTCAATAACTACTTCCGTACACCGATCTCTTCACAAATGAACATTTCGATAACCTAATCTTGAAACTTATTTTAAATCTGTCGGTCATGCTCCTTTTCAAACTTTAGATGTCATGTGACCTGTTCTTTTCTTTAGATCATTCTTAGGGGTTTGGCGAGCATTAAAGACAGCCATCCGTCAAAGTGGGTCCAGATCTTCAAATTATTGAGTATAATTTCTCAAGTTTCTAACACAAATTACAAACTGAATGACATTGTTAGTAGATTAAGTAAGTGAATATGATTCGTATAAAAACGTATAATAACGAAGAAAGGTAGACAAAAGAGAGATCAGTCGAGATGAACGATGTAGCAAATTCGGCAAAATATTAATTTTAATCAAAAAAATTCTTTTGTGCAAATTATTAAAAACAAAATTTATTAAAATTGTGTTCAAAAGTTTTCTTCCTTCCTTTGCATTTTGCTGCACTTTACATTTCTCTTAAAATTACCTGCTTTTGAGACGATTCATTCGCGTATCCTCAAAATAACGAAAATGGAAGCGAATGGAACGGCGACACAAATATTAACATTTTTTATGGACTAAAAGAAACAAATTTTGTTCGTGATTGACTTATTAACAGAAAGCTATATGCGATACGATACGGATGGGGTAAGAGGAGAGGGAAAATTCCAAAAATGATTTTTGAGATTGCACGGCGCCATGATATATTTCGTTAAAGTCTAAAAAAATCGATGAGACGTAACAAGACGTATGGAAGGTATTGAATTCAAGTCATCAAACTAATGATAATTACATTTTTTATATGGTCATCCAGCAATAAACCGTTAGTCTTGATTATCGGCAAAACTGTTGTCATAGACATTTTAATACTATTTTTAGCGACAGGCGGTAATTGAATTTTGTAAAAAGACGCCAATGTACGAAAGTCACGAGCAAATCTCCAAATTACTTTCCAACTTCCAGAGACTTGCATGCAATATACAATCCGGATGGAAGTTGTGACGCGTTATTCAGTTCAAATACGAATTTCAAAAACAATATAAAAATATGAAGCTTTTTTTTTTGTCTTTACTTTACTTTAATGAATTTGAATTATTATTTGATTATATTCCTGCGCATTATTTAGCTGTTGTTGCATTTTTAGTTGAACTTTTTTAGTTTATTTCACGAAATCGAATTTTTTTTTTTTATTTTTTTTATTTTACTTTTTATATTTGTCACAATGATTTTCACGAAATTATTAGTTTTTGAAATAAATAAACCTTTGTTTTTATACCCGCAAGCCCAAAAAAGAAAAAAAATAATAATAAATAAATAAATAAAAACAGTATATACCCACAACACATAAGCAAAACAAAAAAAAAAACAAAAAAAAAAAACTGAAATGCCGTTAACGCAACAGAGCGAGCTTTCCTCAAAAGCTTTTACGTTTCATACTCATCGCGAATTGACTGCCGAGAGCATACTAAATTGCCCAATCGGTTAGTAACATTCACAGACACTAGAGACATATTCATACAATTGATATCAAATTCAGCAAAATCCCATTCAAGTCCAAATCTATCGTTGTCATGCCCAATTATGTTTCTCTTCCCGCCTGTTAATGGCAACTGCGCTTTCCGTGTTTAAATGCATCCTAGATTGGCTGTGATGCTAAACAAAAATAATAACATGCCGAAGAAGAGACATTATTGGGAACACAAAATATATAATAAATATTTCGTTCCAATAGCATGTGTCGAGTATATCTTGTTTATTATTCTAATCAGATAATCGAGCGATTGCAAGAAACGCTTGCTCTCAGCGAGCTAAGCTAAATGAACAATAACAAAAACCAGCCTAAGACAAGCAAGTGTGTGCGAGTAAAAAAAAAAAGAAAAAAAAAAAAATGCAAACTCGTTTATATTGAATGAATGAATACATTAGTTTTAAGAACTTTAAAATTTTAATTATTTTATAGTCATGTAATTTTTTCATTTTTTTATTTTTTCTATTTTTTATGACTCTATGACTGACTGAATCGTAGTTGTTGTCGCGCCATGATCAACAATATTTATAATTTGCACGAGTTACGACGAGTATGTTTCTATGTGTTACCAGACTTTTCTTGTTTGCATTGATTGATTAAAACGAAAAAAACGGCATACACTGCGTATATTTACATCGAATAGATGAAAATAAATTTTATGCATTAAAAATGAGAGACATGTGCGTGTAACGTAAAAGTGAAACGAATGAGAAATTTTTTCCGAGCATACGAGGTGTTCCCTAATCAACTGATCAATCCATTGTAGGGAAATGATTTTGAAAGACAATAAATTACGTCATCAATAAAAAAGTTGCATTCGTCTCAAAAAAAACTTAATAATCCTGTTATCTCTCGGCGAAATGATCGATGATAAGATCTGTATTGGACTATGCGACTTTTTTTTACGTAAAATTACTTTACATGACAAAGTCATCTTGTAATGTTTCCACATCTAAGAGTTACACACAGTTACATTCAGTTCATTTACTTTGCACGCAATTATTAACATGACATGAGTATAAAAAGTCTTTTGAATGTAAAGAAAAAGAAAATATAAAAAAACACACAATTCTGTCATACCCTCAAAAATATTCAAAATTAACAAACTAGATTTTAGTCGCTCAAAAACAACAAGATCCAAGCGAATGAAGGAACGCTACACAGACTTCTTTGAATGCATTATACAATCCATCTGCGACATTTTTCATTAATTGAAGACGAGTAGTAAAAGCAAACTCACAGTAAAACAAACTAAATCGTATTAAAAGGAAAAGCAGATTATTATACCGTTATATACCATACGTCACTTAGTCAATTATATTTTCGTGGTGAGCTTGCTTTTGCTTGCTTATATGCTTGAAATCATTATCCCAGACTGATTTCCATGATCAAATAGCAAAAATTAGATCATATTACTATATAAATGCTGATTTCGTATAAGTTATATATAGGGTGGAGTGTTCAGGTGTATATAGAGTTCCTTCCAAATTTTCAAAATTTTATTTTGAACGCAAAAATACTGATTTCCACCAAATATTGACGAGAAATATTAAATATTGCAATTTTCGCTCACCTAACGATAAGACACGTCCATGGGCCAAAATACGTTAACGCACTAAATTTTATAATATCTTAAAAATTTGGGACCTATCGGCTGAACATAAAAATACATGGACAACCATCAAACGAATAGATAGACAGACATACATTAATCGATTCAGAAATGGTTCTGAATTAGTTAAAGTATATCTGTCTATTTGTCCGTTTAAGGGCTGTCCATGCCTTCTTCGCCCCCAGAACCATTTTAAAAACATTTAAACTTTTCTGGATAATACATACATCTGCGCAAACTTGAGTATAAAAAAGCATCCGCGAGGTTGCACCCAAGCGTACGCGAATAGTCCTCGGATAGACAAATGGGCTCAAATCGATGCGGAATCGATTGATTGAATACAAGCTGCGTATGTCCAGAGTAGTTCTTCTGCGTTGTACATACACACTTAACAAAAGTGGAGTAGGGTATGGATATTGTAGAAATAATCGCTTCGCGTCTGTTTAAAATAATAAATTCTGGGTATTATAACCACAATTATTAGCTTAGCAAAAAAATAAAACAAATTCGGTCGGGGTAGAATTTTTTATAACAATCACTCTTATCCAAAAAAAAGGCAAAAGAAGTGAGAGAACAAAATTTTCATGCTCTATAATATAGAGCGGGCGCTACTGGTTTTTTGTATTTTCAAAACAAAAGTTTTCGTCGTATAGGTATGTAAGCGTTATAGGCAAGCCCTTTGAAAAGTTTAGCAATGAACAATGGCAGCACTTGGTGGTGAAGTTCGTTGGACGGAACACGCATTCGATTTTTGAAAGAAGTAGTCAAGGACGTTCAAAGGCCAAAGGTTAGGATATAATTATCAGATGTGGACGGGACTATTCATATCTGACCTGGAAATTCTTGGCCGCGTGCACTGAAGGGATCAATTGTTCCCGGACGGTGAGGGCACATCGAACACTCAACCTTGGGCTAAGCGCACAGAAATGTTCTTTTTTTTTTTTGTTTTTAAACCCTATTAACAGAGTTCGCCAGATTCGAACCCTTCAAATTTCGTTATCGTGTCGCGTCAAATTTTTTTTTGTTTTGTCACAATTTCACTGCACGCGTTTACGTCAGGTAATTTTTTTTTTCGATTAATTAATTTCAAGAAAAACCTGAGGCATATAATTTAGTAACCTTGATTATTGTACTGTCTCCCATCGCCGAAAGAAATGTCTCTATGACGTTACGTTAAAAGTTCGCAGTCGCAGTATCTGTTAATCGTTCGATCCTAAGTGTCGGTTAAATGTCAGGCTATATAATATCTTTTATAAGTGAAAAATTATTGATACATCTTTAAGTACATTCTCTCTATGCACACATATATAGAGCCATCCATTTTGTGGTTCCAGATGTAAATGGAAACAAGGCGTACTTCTGATTGAGACTTGGATCATCTTTTTTTTACCCTCTCAATATATTTTTTGGATCTGGCTATTATTCGTTGTGGTTGTACAGTGTGCAGAAATTGCTAAAACTTGTGGCGAAAACAATAAACCCACGGGTACATTCCATTCATATAGAATAAAGCCTTTGTTAGGTTAAGTGGCTTCGTAAAAACGGACCTGTTAGTGAAAAGAAAACACGTCTAATGTAAAATAAATATCAGGTGTGGTTTGTGGACTCAAAATGTTATTTTTCAACATAGAAATGGTATCGCAGTTACCCCCCGCGAACGCTGCAGAAAGATGATTACATAAATGACTTCGACTTGGACGATATATGGTTTTAACAAAATGTTCCAACATGCTATACATCTTCGTGGCATCATCACCTTTTTACGAGCGCGATTCACCGACCAAAGACCATCTTCAAAAATTCCTCTGGAGCCTTGCCATACAGATATAGTTCTAGCGGACTTTTGTGTTACGGCGTTAGGTAAGAGCATTGCCTAATGGCAATAAATAACGAGCTCTCAATGACATTATTAACCAAACGGTAAAATCTGGGAGGATAGGTGTGGAAAAGTGGCAAAAATTGATTTCCCGGTGTTGAATTCTTACGGTAGTCCGGAGCCGTTCGTTTGCATAGAATCGATTCGGAGTCAAAATAGGATGAACCAATATCTAAAATGGGAAAAGCTCGTGTTGATATCTTTTGCGGTTTAATTTTTACTGCAAATTACACAAAAAAAAAAAAAAAAAAAAAACCATTTGATTACCCTATATATAATATATAGACTCCATTGTTCCTATTTGAAAGAAAAAACAAAAAAAGTATTTTAGAAACAAATAAAAATGATAAATTTTATCTTTAATATAACGGTTGTTTGTTGTTCTTTTAAATTTCACATCATCGAAGTTGTTACTTACATTTGTCGTTAAAGCATCATTTGTTTTTGTTTCTGTTTTTGTTTTTATCATTGATGATGCTCCCGCCGTCGCTATTGCACCGTACTCACTTGAGATTATTGCTTCCCTAATCAACTGAAACATTATAGCACACGTGCCCGGTTGAATAAAATCTATAACGCAAACACGAAACGACACACACGTGATATTTTCCCTTTTAACTGACTACAGTTTGTTTAAATTTTATTTTCGTAACAATTTTGCGAATCTCAAAATTGTTATTTCTCGATGCGCCCACTGAAGGGTAGTGCGATTGAAAATATTGAGATTTCTGAGGCAATTATCCGCTCTTTCATTTCCCGCGAATATAACTTTGACAATTCATTTAAATCACAATCGTATACCAGAGTAGGAGAGTAAGATTACAATAAAATTATTCAACAAGATCTCGATTGATTTTATATTGAATGGAGGTAAAATCAAAATATTTGTATTAAGTAAAATTTCAACTTTTGGAGATGCAAGAAAACTTTCCGTGTCATATCATAGTAAATTCCTTTATAAAATCCGATATTGCTTTTGATGTCGTTTATTTCTCTTTTAAACAAACATGAACGTGATGGACGATGGACATTGAAACATTCAAGTCCCGATGATTCGAATTCTTCACGTTGTGTGATTTTATCAATAAGCATGAGGTTACAAAACTAAAGAAAACAGTTAAATTTCTCTCACATGGATACGTAGCTATTCACGACACGCAGATTCGTTTGCGCAAATATTGCCGCGCACTATAAACTAACGTATCAGATGAATGATACCTAGTAAACAATTATTTGATAAATTTAATAAGATAAGAATTACGGGTAATGATGATTATTATCCATCAAAGCTTCGCTTCATTTAGAGCAATAGAGACGCAGTCGGTAAATTAAAATAAATTAAATTAAATTGATGACATTTCTTTCCAATGGGGAAAGCTGAGCATTCGTATATAACAAATTGGAACGTAGAGTAACGTTAATACGTTTATAAAGCAATTTATAGCATGAATCCTATCTGCGTATGTAGAAGAAAGGAAAAAACAAAGAATCGTTAACGTTTGACATATACAGGAAAGTATAAAGATATTATATTTTATGGGTTCTCTTCAAAAATCAAAATTCAGAAAATTCTCTCATAGCAAATTTCCGAATTTTTTTTGGCACATTCCAATCAATCCGATAAAGTTCTTAGGACACTGGGAATTGATGTTAAGAAGCCATTATCGTGAGAAGTGTGCCAATCATACTTCAACCGCGTTTCCATCCGTTTTCGTTGAATTCTCTTCAAGTACATTTTCCACTTGTCTCTCGAATAAAACGATCAATTCCGTATGTGTAGTATGCGGAAACATGTCAACTGCAATAGCTGTTTTGGGAAAGAATGGATTGCCTTTATATTGCTTAGATTCGGGCCGACCCAATTCAATCCAATTAAGACGGGCACGTTCAGGATTACAGGATATATACACCAAACGCTTGATAGCGGAGGCAGCTCGTATCGCTGCAATAGATCGATTGTCTGAAATGAATAATTATTAGTCGGTAAAAAATATGCATCGAATTTTTTGAACGCACTTACGTAATCCAGCTCTTGGCGGATCTACTACCGCTATTAGATCTAGCTGTTCTCCGGGAGCAGTGTCATATATCACCTCTTTGACCATAGATTGTATGTAATCGTCAGCATTCCCTGCGTAAAATTTGCAATTTTGAACCCGATTTTTCTGCGCATTATATTCTGCATCATTTACAGCAGTGGAAATTATTTCTACTCCTAGAACCCGTTTACAGTGTTTAGAAAAGGCTAAAGCTATGCTACCTATTCCACAGTATATGTCTAGCACAGTGGAGTGCAATTGCGGCTGAGCTAAGGCAATAACTTTTTGGTACAATATATCAGCTGCGGCAGTATTGATTTGAAAAAATGCCAACGGACTAATGCGGAATTCCAGATTGTCAATATTGTCTGTGATGTGTGTAGCGCCAAAAAGGTGTTCTATTGGAGATACCATCTGTCCAGCTTCACGGTGTTTTACATCTTGATAATATAACGAACTACAAGTAAACTGTGATTCTTGCCCCGATCTCGTATCGTAGTAGTTGATGAGTTCATTTTTAATTTCTTCTAAATCAGTTTCATTTAAATTAGAAGAATAAATTCCAACCATCAACATAATTTCTTTAGTTTGTGAGGAAGTGCGTACCGTAAGTTGCCGAAAATGTCCACTATTTGTTTCCGGATTAAAAGGCTCATACTTAGAATGTCTAACTAATTGTTGAAATGTGCGCGCTGCCCATTTTGCCGCGTCCGGCAAATGGGGCAAATGGTCAACTTCCGACACTTCTACTGATCCATCCGCGTAGCTGCCCAAACGAAATCCAACAACAATTTCTCCGTTCGAATTTTTACCTACCGTAAATTCATTCTTATTGCGATAACCAGTGATTTGGGGCGATGGCTCAACACCTTCGAATTTGAAATCTTCCAAAGGCTTCGAAGCACTTTTATTTATTTTTATTAATTCACCCTTAAAAGTTTTGATTAGCTCCTCCATATTAGAGCTTTTCTGCTTTAATTGCTCCTCATATGGCATTCCTGCCAATGGACAGGTAGCTTCTGCCGAGGTACGTTGCTTTTTATTAACAGGATACGTTTGCTTATCATTTTGATTCTCTTCTTTGCGTTTTTTCTGTAGTGGATCAGCTGACGCTTTGGCAACCTTCAAATTGTTTAATTAAAAATAAACTATGATGTACATGGATAGAAGTTCATCGCTTACAAAAGCTCGTAAAATTTTGCCCTTCCATTTGTAACCATTCAGTATTTTAATAGCCTTCTGCTGATCGGCTTGACTACGAAAGCATACAAATGCAAATTCCTTATGCGTTGGACTCTTGATTTTACTCATATCAAGTTTAAGTTTATTCCTCAATAACTTTTTCAATTCCTAGTAAAATGGAATTAACATCGTCATTCCTTTCAACTATTCCAAAACCCCTTAGAACTTACTCCTATGCCAAAGTATCCCAAGTTACGAACTTCAATTTTAAAAACCTCCGAAGTAAATTCATTTCGCTGCAAATAGGCGAATTCATCGTTAACATCGTTAAGGTCAGCTTGACGCTCTAGACTTCCTTCTTTTTTTACCCCATCAATAATGGCTTTTTCCATCCTTCTTAATTTCTTTCAAGATATATTAATCAATCTTTTACACCGTTTTTCGTTGGAACACGTGCATACACATATGTTATTTTTTAATCTCTAAGAGTTGCCATGAGTAGAAGCATTAGCAATCTAAGGCAAATTGATTAAAACACAGGATCAGTGTAACTGGTTTATCTGCAATTTCGCTCGTATGGAAGCATCGATATTCGTCGGAATTTCTGGATTTTCATAAAATTACAAAATTAAAAAACCCGCAGCCCACCTCACAAATTTTTTAAATTTCATCATAGGTCTGGCTTGTTTCAAAAACATATTATTTTACTCTCAACGCCCAAGTAAGATTCGTCTGACCGTCTTAACAACGAGTATACGAGTGATTTCCGGACAAACATGACGTATTGATGTTATATGCAAACCGGCAGGAAATTTTCCCTCGTTATCAATTAAATTGAATCACGAGCATATTACCTTTTTTTTTTTTGAAAAATGCCGATCGAAAAACAAAAACATCTTGGATCGGCGGCCTAAAAATGGCAAATAGAGATTAGTCTTTTCGCGAGCTAACCTTGTGTTAGCCCGCAATGATTCATGTAATATGTATATATATATGACAAGTCTTTGGACAGATTACTGTAGAATCATCATATCAGAGCTTGTTTGGTCTAAACGTTTCAATTTCTATTTAATATAGCTTAAGTAAAAGCGATTGAAAAAGAAGTTCGATGTTTGGGTGCCACACCAATTAACAGAAAAAAACATGATGGATCGAATTTCCATCTGCGAAACCTTGGCCAAACGGAATGAGATAGACCCATTTCTTAAACAGATGGTGACTGGAGATGAGAAATGAATCACATACGATAACCCTGTGCGAAAACGATCGTGGTCAAAGAGCGGTGAAGCACCTCAAACGGCCAGGAAAGTTTTGCTATGCATTTGGTGGGACTGGAAGGGGATTATTTATTATGAGTTGCTTCCATATGGCCAAACGCTAAATTCTGATCTCTACTGTCAACAACTGGACCGTTTGAAAATAGCGATTGACCAGAAACGGCCAGAATTGGCCAACAGGAGAGGTGTCGTGTTCCACCAGGACAACGCTAGGCCACACACATCTACAGTGACTCGCCAGAAACTTCGGGAGCTTGGTTGGGAAGTTTTAATGCATCCGCCATACAGTCCGGACTTGGCACCAAGCGATTATCATCTTTTTCTTGCATTGCAAAATTTCTTTAATGATGAAAAATTGGAATCTAGGGAGGATTGTGAAAATCGACTACGAGAGTTTTTTGCAAATAGAGACCAGGACTTCTATGAGAGAGGCATTTTGAAGTTACCTTTAAAATGGCAACAAATCATACAACAAAACGGTGCATAATATAAGGAAAACAAAATGTATTATCGTATAAAATTTTTATTTTTTCCTTTTAAGTTAAATTAAATGTAACTCAGGTGGGATGGTTTATTTGTGTTGAGTATCCTTAAAAGCCGTCTAAAGTAAAAGCGTAATGGAGTTTACTATATGACTTTTATTAGTCTTTGAAAAAAAAAATAAAAAAAAAATCTCGGAAAATATGTACGCGAGGTACACTTCATGTCATTAATAAAACAAGTCTTCAATATTTTTGAAGCTTTTTTAGTCCTTTTTAAATGGTGAAGCACAAATGCACGTCATTGTATAGTCTGTGTCTTCAGCTTTCTCCAGCATGGCTTCACAAGAGGACGATGTGTTATTATTGGATATTTCATTGAACCCACTATCTGTTCGAAAAATCGTTGAGTTCTTTTCCGGTGAGCAATTCGTAATGGGTGGTTTTTCAATATTTTTCGCAAAAGCGTCTGAACTAATAATGTGGTTGACTAAAGTTTCTTGAAAGAGAGTGTGTTTTTTTATAACCATATCCTTGACCTTTTGAGTAGTAGTATACCCATCACAATTTGCAATATTCTCATCTTGCTCGCCGTTCAGCAAATTAGCTGAAAACGATTCGGATAGATTTTTGCGGCTAGCTGAGCGTCTTTTTCCTCTAGGTGTATCGGAATTGGAAGAAGTTGAACTTATTGCCGATAGTTGAGAATATTGCATTTCTTCCATATCAAAGGTGTCTTCTAAAAGTTCATCCGTGTCATCCGGATTTATTGACAGATCTAACTCTTTCGCGAAAACTTTGCTAACCATCGTGTTAGATTCCAATTTTTGACTGCTATTAACCTTAAGACGACTGATCTTTACCGTGAAACTATCTGCCGAAGATTCAGTGATGTTTTTATTAGCCACATAGGCGAGCAAAGGCGATGAACTTCTTTCTGGTGTGAATTTTTGTTTAGGTTTGTTGTCGCTTTGCGATAAATCTGCCGTTTCAGTAACAGCATTGTTCTTTTCGTTATTTGTACAGTTGTCTACGTTTATGTGCTTCTTAGACATACCAGGTGGATGTATTGGTGACAGTTGCTCGCCTATTTCATTAGCAAAATCAATTGTACGCATTGTACGGTTTTTAGCGCTTCCTGTGTTAAGTGGTGATAAGCTTTCGAAAGTTGATATAGGCGACAACGATCCAAACGAACTCTTATCCGAAGAATCCGATAATTTACCTATTATGGCCGAATGTTGAGCAGTAGAAGTTATTGAAGAAGAACTAGTATTGGCACATTGCTCCGTTTTTGCACAAGATGTTTGAACTAAAGGATTTGTGTCATTCTCAACAAGCATAATATTCTGCATATCAAACAATTTGCGTCTTAATGACAAATCATTCCAATTATTATTATTGTTAAATGGGCCCGTAAATTTTTTTTCCCATTCAACCCCAACACCAGCTAAATGAGGTTGAAAATATGGTTTTAAAGCTAATTCCAAAGCAGGAGGGAGTGTTGGAGGCAACGTCAGTTCGGTTTGGGAACTGCAATCGCGTATTCGTCGCCCCGGCTTGGAGATGGGAGTGTTGCCGTTTAATTCCGATAAAATGATGCGATGATTTCTTAATGGACAAAACACTGGGCTTGGAACAATTTGTTGCTCCTTAAAGTAGGAACTTATGGCCAATTGAGCTTTAGCCTCCAAGTCCGGATCTGGAGAATCTTGAAATTGAGTCTCGTGAGCTTCTACATGAGCAGGTTTTAGGCTAGACATCTCATCAATGGTCCACTCAAATTGGGTCGAAGACATTTGTGGAGTAGACGGGCGGAATAAAGAAGGACTGTAGAGTTAATCAATTAAAGTTTATTCATAGACATAACATGTATGTATGCCTTTTTTTAACTGAGAAAATTTACCTGGCAATTAGTGGCAAATGCAGTCTATCCGTCAGTGCTGCCTCAAAAGGATTCCTTACTTTTTGGTGCCGCTTCGCTGGCGGTGTCTGAGAATGTGGCATTGTGATCGAATGCACAGAATTTAATGTTGGAGCCGGGACAAAGTTTGATGAACTTACTGAACTTACCGTACAGCTGAGACCTCCCGCTTTGGGTGAACGTGGATGTATTGCTTTTTTATGTGAACCAAGATTTTTTGGTGTATCCTCTGCATTTTTCATGGTTTGTGCTAACTGGGGCCAGATTGTTGCAGTTATCACTCTTTGCGGCGATTTGTATTCTTCCACATCCATCACTTCGAACAATTTTCATTAACAAGTTTCGTTAAAGAAGTTTAAAAAAAACAAGGGCAAAACACAGCACAAGTAAACCATACGCGCTTTTAAGCATACCAGATCGTAAATAGCTGAAAAAGTGAATGTCGCACTATGTCAAGCAAAAGCAAAAATACAGAAATCAATCACAACTAGAGCAACGCTCACTTTGTTTGAGAAGTAAAAATACAGAAATCAGCATAAATGTAGACAAGCAATATATAAATAAATGCAAATATTTTTAATGTCAAATTAATTAGTGAAATAAAGAATTAAAAAAACGATATTAAAGAAATAGTATAACGGTAGATTTACTGAAAGAATTAAAATAGGAGATGTGGGATAACACACCCTTTTTAAACCCAGGATATTGACGAAGTTCTTATAACAGTATTTGGACGGCTATGAAGGTCTCCAATATACTACAAGAATGAGTGTGAAATTTTTTGGTATACTATATGAGCGTATCGCAAATAAGCTCCGTAAATATTCAGATCTAAAAATCATTTACTTGCTCATGCATGGATGATCATTTCTTTGATACTCAGCTCACGACGGTAGAATATAGTCAAGATATTTGGTAGCTAAATATACCGCACTTCCCAGAAAATATGTAAGTAAAAAAATCCAAAGATTTTAATAACATACGGGACTTTTCTTACTGCATTAGTCTAATATATGTATTTAATTCCATAAATTAGTTGCTTTGCAAAATAAAACACTGAACCTGAAATTTGGAAACTACACTTTAATAGCAATATATGACAGTTTATTTTTAAATTTGAAAGAAATCGGCTTTATTTTTTTTTTTTAATTTTCTGTTTCTTTTTCGTATTATTTGCTTGATTCCATAAAATCCGTGTGAGTAGCTAATCTCAACGAAATCTAATAAAAAGTTGAGCAATGTGCTTGCATGAAATACCCAAAAATTTCTATATATGCACATTCATTACTTTTAATGTATCAAAGTCAATTGTGTTGTCACCGTAAAAGTACTTTGACATGCTAATGTTGCTATCCGACTTAACCCGAAAAAAATTTTTAAGTCTTTTCTGTGTTGCCATAATTGAATATAGGTTCCCATTTACGGGATCGAAGAAATGGAACACTTAAAACCAAACGAAATTCAAACCTTATCAATTAATCTTCTGATACTTTTGTTAATATTCAGTATAATCGTTGCAATATATTACATCGAATTTTATCTGCCTTGTAAAGTAAATAATTAGTTTTAAGTTTCATAATTGAAAGCTAACTATGACCAGATGAGGACGAGATCGATACATATAAAACGACGCCAGATTTTTCCTTGTCTAAATTCTTACACTATTCATACTAATATTATGAGATATGCACGAGTTACAAATTACACAAACTACAATCCACCAGCGTTCAACTACACAAAAATGTAGAATGCGAAACAAAATAAACAACAAAGTTTAGGCAGTCATATAGTCAAAATGTCCGCATAGTTCTCTGCTTCTGGCAATACTGACAGCTGGCTGAAATATTTTCATTATTTCCTTATGGAGTTTTATGCGTGGTTGCTCATTTGTTTGGCCGTATCTGCACATTCAATGGCGTGTATTAGAGCGGTTTTTCGTTTATATAAATGAAAGCGTCTTTCAGCGATTGTTAACGAAGTAGTTTGAATTAATAAAGAAAAAAATGTTTATATAAAAATTGTCTTAAAGTATATGTGTTAATGCAAAACGAATCCATCGAAAATTTAAGCAAATATCAGTGCATGTGTTAGCTCTCAATAGCTGCCAATATTGAAACTTATTTAGACAATCACTTTTCTAACGCCAGTTGTCAGTCCATATATGTATGAAATAATTTCTTATATACGATTTAGAAACTTGTTTACGATATTTCAGTCATTACTAAATTTATTTGCATTGCCTTTATATGCTTGTTAAAGTTAATAAAGTGGTTCTAACTTTACATTTTTCAGTCTTTAGTGATTTAATAATATCATTATTTCGCCAAATATTTTTTGTGGTCAGTGATGTGTAGAGCTCCAATAAAGCACCAGCAGAGATTGTGATGAAGAGCGCCAGCGCAACAGGCGAAAGTTTTTTCTACATCTGCATTATAAACTTATTAATGAGCTGAATGTTCACGTATGTTCCTGTTACAACTACGTATTTTAAATTTTCATTGCCTCACCCCACCTGTTAACACATTCAAAGAGTAGTTTGCAAGTGTGCGTTTGCGTGTAAAAAATAAAGAAAACATTTACATTAGATGTAAATTTTTATAAAAGTGCAAAAATATATATGAATGATAAATTTAAAAACTTTTTTAAAAAATATTTACCAATCGTTGTATGCAGTGAATCATAATCATAGTAGCAGTAGCCGCTGCTCGTTAAAAATAACTAATCAATTTTGTTGAAAAACTGAAACAAAAGTACAAACAGAAAAGTCTCGTACATTGCTCTTCCATCTTACGAGTTTTTGTTAACACTTTTGTTTTTTTATTACCTAAAAATGTTCTCAACTCGATTTGCCCATTACTCTTGCGAGCCACTGTATGCGTACATTCTTTGTTTTTATTAAAACTGTTAATTTGTATCTCATCACATGACTGATAATCAAGTACCTGTCGCTTCTATTCAACTACTGGTAAGTACTTATTCTTCGTGTCCACTACTGGGGAAAATGTACTAATTTTATAAGTTTGCTCGCAAGACTCGCATATGCGCAAACATACTTAATCATTGTAAGGTCCCACACGAACGTCTTTGCAGTTCTGAGAAAATTGCGGGGAAGGGACTGTGAATCGGGCGTAATAGTTCAATTATATAAATTAATCGAAAGTTAAATACCAGAATAACATTAAATATTGGGTTTTTGGTAATAATTCACGATTTGAAAAAGTTCGAGAAGAAGTAACAAACAATACCGCTCGTTACCGTAATTAATAGCTTATCAAAAGAATTAATATTAACGCATATAAAGACATATTATTGAAGTTCTCTGATTATTGATCATCAAGCCAAATATTAAACTCAAAAATGCCCTTCTTTTCTTTACATTTAATTATCTTAGATTTTTAATTTTGCGAAAGCATTTCCGAGCATGCCAGTTGAAATAGCAAGGAAAATATATATGTAATGAACACGGAAATCAATGAATGGACGAACGACACGCCTAGTGCAAGAACATACATTGTACGATTTCTGCCGCTTTTTTTTACTGAGTAATCCTAATCATTCGGTGCGAGTGTAAATGTTACATTTATCTACGTTAGTTGCTTATGTGTATCAGTGTTTCTAAGCTAAACCACTTTCCTGAGCTTGTAGTTACTAACATCAAGCAAAAGCTGCACACTGGTGAAGTCGTCGACATCCGAGAATATATTAACTTTGTCGTTCCTTTTGCAACGCCCAGAAGTAAGGAAACAAACTTTCAATTAGGTATATATATATATAGGCAACATCTTAGGCAATGTAAAGCTTGAAATGGATTTACGTCAGATAAAGTAAATAATGCCGAAACTAAGCACCTTTATGTATATGATAAATAAATAAATAAATAAATATATACTTAAATACTTTGTCCGTTTTCGCAGTCGTGCTTCGGGAATAGGCCGAGTTCGTCTGCGCATTCTGCGATGACAACTAGAAAACAAACAAAATATATGAAAACATTTTCATTAGCACACTCGTATATATACTAAAGCATATAAAGGTTAATCAAAGTTATATAAAAATGTTTATACAATTGGTTTGAAATCAATTTAAAAAATTAAGTGGTGTTCATGTATATACCTACTTTTCAGGACTGGTATCGCATGATTCGTCTCGTATATCGTTTTATATTGATATCATTTTCTGATTTGCTTGTTTTCAGTTTTGTGATTATTTTCTTAACTTTTCTCGCTTTTTTCTTGAACTATTTACACTATACGATGCGTGCGTGTACGCTTTACTTTTAACTTTTAATTTTTACATGATTTTATTAAAAAAAGATCTGCATGGCTAACACAAGTGCGTAGCTGTGAGAAAGTTATGTTCGCGCATCTGGTTTTACCAGATTTTTTTGTTGTTATTTTTTGCAGTCGCTATCAAAAACATACTCTACTCAAAGTCCTGTATGATGATTATTAGTGCTGCACCTTGCCATCCAATTACCTTATCTCTCTCTTCAGGCTCTCCGGCATACTGACATGTATTTTCAAGTCATCATTATTATACCCGTTTATCTGAGTTGAGTAAAATAATTGCATTTGTTTTTTGTTTTCATTTTCACGCACTTTCATATATATGAAAAAAGACTTGCATTTTAAAACATCAAAAGTGAAATGATTGCAACGAATCTCTCTACTAATTGACATTGATTTAGAAAATTTTTAAATCAGCCATTTCGCCTTTGCAGTATTTGCTCTATCATGTCAATAAGTAAGATTAAATAATTCACTGCTTATCTGGATATCGGATAGATGTTAAACTTGTGCAGGGTGCAAGGGTGCAAATTTCTGCTTTTGGTTTTTTGATTAAAATTGAACGTATATTATAAAAACAAGTGGCCAAACGATATTTTATTCAAACCATTGTCTGTCTCTTAGGCAGAATATGGATTTCGTGCAGAAAGCACAATTAGCCTTTTGCGTCTATCTACGTAAGTGTTCAATATTTTTCTGATTGCCATAAAAAATGAAAGTCATGATTGGACGGACAATATGGCACCAATTGAAACCAGTGTCAATCAGAAGGAATAACGTCTGCCGACAAAGTGCTGCTATTTGATCTAAGACGAGTTTTTTGCTAGATAGAGCCGAATTTTTCCACGCTGACAATAGACCAAAGACAGTCTTATATACTAACTCTCTCACTTCCGGAAGACAAAGCGTTACGGAGCGTAAGTGTTTCTGATTAGTATGTAAGGCGAAATGACGTCAATCCTATCTATCGTGGCATTCTTTCGCTGATAAGCCATATTCAGGAAGCAATAATTCTTACAATTTCGTTACGCTACGGCCCAAATACTTACATGGCATCATAAATTTCTCTAATGAAAACACGCAGTTTCAGAACAGAAGTATAATAATATTAGAAAATTGTTTAGGCATTCATTGATGC